ATACAATGATCTTTTTTTTGACTGCTAGATATAAACTTCTATTCTTCCAACAAATAGCTGAAATGCTACACACTTTTTTTTTAGTCTTTGTTAATTTACTCTCTCAACAAGAATATATTAATAAGAATACTGAAAGCAGACTTTATATCTTTCGATTTTTCCCAAACTCCAGCCTGGCATTTAAGGTTCTCCCAGCAGCTGACCTCATTCTAGCTTTCCCTCCTTACTTCGAGAATGTCCCTTACGAGGACCTTCTTTCACTGCAGTTTGTCTAAGGAAATACGTTGGCAATTACAGTTAAGCTCCACTTTTGGACAAGTTGCTTAACCTCATTTTGTCTCCGTTTTCATGTAAAACGAGGGGTAAAGAATGTATCTCACTGAGTTGAGAAACTTAAGTGGCTTAATCCATGTAAAATGATCACCTTGTTCACAAGCAATAAGCACTCAATCTGGGCCAGCTTTTATAATTTTATCACTAATAGTTTTTGTGCTTTGCAACTTCTCCAGTTCTGCTCATTACACCCCATGGTTCTTTGCTAGTATAGTGGGAGGGGGGAGGGGGGCGGGTATATACATACATAGTGAGTGAGATGTGCACCATCTGGGGGATGGTCATGATGGAGACTCAGACCTATGGGGGGAGGGGGGGAAATGGGCATTTATTGAAACCTTAAAATCTGTACCCCCATAATATACCAAAATAAAAAAAATAATTAAAAAAAATAAAAAAAATAATAATTATAAATAGTAAGCAACAAATGGCACAGACAGAAAATATCACAAGAAATCAGGAAGCAAGGGGGGTTTAAATGCATGCCGAAGTGGAAAATGAGCAAAGAGTTTGAGGATATTTGAATGTGGTAGTCATGACAAAGAATTGCAAAGTGTCTTGTAGCATGCCCTTGACATGTGTGGGGGAACATTTTTTATTTTATTTTATTTTTTTATAAGAGCTAACAAGATGTTTACTAAGCTTTCTAACTCCGCGATCAAAGATAGCTGATTGGGCCAGAGAGATCAAGAACATCTTCACAGAGGAGGAGGATCTACTTGTGCCTTGAAGGATAGAAAGGCTGATACTAGCAAAGAACCATGGGGTGTAATGAGCAGAACTGGAGAAGTTGCAAAGCACAGAAAACTATTAGTGATAAAATTATAAAAGCTGGCCCAGATTGAGTGCTTATTGCTTGTGAACAAGGTGATCATTTTACATGGATAAAGCCACTTAAGTTTCTCAACTCAGTGAGATATATTCTTTACCCTCGTTTTATATGAAAACTGAGACAAAATGAGGTTAAGCAACTTGTCCAAAAGTGGAGCTGTAACTGTAATTGCCAACGTATTTCCTTGGACAAACTGCAGTGAAAGGAAGGTCCTCGTAAGGGACATTCTCGAAGTAAGGAGGGAAAGCTAGAATGAGGTCAACTGCTGGGAGAACCTTAAATGCCAGGCTGGAGTTTGGGAAAAATCGAAAGATATAAAGTCTGCTTTCAGTATTCTTATTAATATATTCTTGTTGAGAGAGGTAAAATTAACAAAGACTAAAAAGAAAGTGTGTAGCATTTCAGTCTATTTGTTGGAAGAATAGAAGTTTATATCTAGCAGTCAAAAAGAGATCATTGTATTCTTTAATAAAAATACAATCCTGTTTCCTAGTGGTTCAAAATTCTTGATTTTCTTAAATACAAGTAAACTCTACAGAATATTGTCTTCAGTATTAGGAGCTCTCCATACAAGCATACACCGATAACCTTTCCCCAAATTTCCACAATTAGGTGGAAAGGGGTGGTGAACCATCTTGCTCTGCCTTTTCTCTGCAGTCTGAAAGCACACATCGATCGCATCCTTGTGGAGAGGGAAGGAGGGAGATTCTGGGGCAATCTCTTCCCTCTACACACACCTGACCATGTGAATTATTCTTGCTGCAAATTTGCATCAGCAATTCTCAAAATGAGTTGAGGGGGCAAACGGATGGTCTCCACTAGGGCACTCTCAGACAGCTCTCTTCTCATGGAGACTTTGATTGTTTTTCCCCCAGTGGGATTTTGTGTTGTGGGCCTTTTTTCTGCAGTAGCATCTTGGAAAAAAAAATCTCAACCTCTAGCTTACTGACTTTTGGAAACTCAAAATAGTATGGTGAGAAGATTTGTAATTATACCTATCTCTCAGGGAATAATGACTTAATTAATACACCCTTCATGAGACTTCACACCATGGGAAGCACACAGCTGTTCCGGCTGATGGAAATTAAGGTGTCGTGAAGTGCCGAAACCTGAGTGTTTTGATTGTGTGTGTGTTTTAAATGTTTAATATAGTTTTTTTTCTTCCTTTTGGTTTAATTTGTGCACTGGAATGGGCCCCTCTCTTTCCTCAGCCTGCTGATGATAAATAGAGAGGAGGACATATATATGGAAAGGTGAAGCTGTGATGTTCCTAATGACAAAAATTAACCTGGATAGTCATGGCTCAAGGCTATTTCAAAATATGCATGCTATTACATTTGTTCTATTTTGTTTAATTATTCAACCTAAGAGTATTTCAAAATGGTTTGCCATTAGGTGTTTTTTTAAAAGAGAATGATGGTGGTACTTCCATATTTTGCCTTTGCACTTCCCGAGTCCCAGCTACAAGCATGCCCATCCCCCAGAGAGTGTGCACCACATCCGTTAGGTGTGGATTTACCCACCCCCTCCTCTCCGCTCCCACCTGCCCAACACCCTATGCATGTTACTTTCCATCTGTGCACATTACTATTGATCAATTAGTATCAATTTAATGGTGAGTACACTTAGTACTTTTTTTTCATTCTTGTGATACTTCACTTAGAATAATGGGCTCTAGCTCCATCCAGGATAATACAGTTGTTCACCACTTTTTTATGGCTGACTAGTACCCTGTGGGACATGTATAAAACATTTTATTAACTCATGGATTGATGGGCACTTGGGTTGTTTCTACATCTTTACAATTGTGCATTGTGCTGCTATAAACATTCAATTCAATTGCAGATGTGCTTATTATAGAATGTCTTTTTCTCCTTGAGTAGATACCCAGTTTTGGATTGGTGGATCCAATGGTAATCCTACTTTCAGTTCTATAAAATATCTCCATATTATCTTCTACATCGGTTGAACTCATTTGCAGTCTTGCCAGCAGTGTATGAATATTTCTCTATCTCTACATCCATGCCAATGTGTATTGTTTCGGGACTTTTTGATAAAAGCCATTCCCAGTGGAGTTAAATGATATCTCATTGTGATTTTGTTTGCATTTCCCTGATGATTAGAGATGTTGAGCATTTTTTCATATGTTTGTTGGCCATAAGTCTATCTTCTTTTAAAAAGTTTCTGTCCATGTCCTTTGCCTACTTATTAATGGAGTTGTTTGATTTTTTTCTCACTGATTTTGCTGAGTTCTATACAGATTCTAGTTATCAGCCCTTTATCATATATTAATGGCTTGAACCACCCACTAAAGAGGCACAGTCTCACTGAACGGGTAAAAAAATACAAGCCAAGTACCTGCAGTCTTCAGGAAACACATCTAACCCACAAGGATTCATTCAAACTCAAGATGAAGGGATGGAAAACAACATTCCATGCAAATGGAAACCAAAAGAAAGCTGGTATAGCAGTTCTCATTTCATATAACTTGGTCTTCAAATTAACAAAAGTAATGAAAGACAAAGATGGTCATTATATAATGGTAATGGGAACAATTCAACTAAAACATAAATATTCTAAATATTTATGCACCTAACTCAGATGCACCCAGATTTATAAAGGAAATCCTACTCGATCTAAACAAAATGATAAACAACAGCATTGTAATAGTCAGCTACTTCAAAATCCCTTTGACAGAACACAACAGATCCTCTAAACAGAAAATAAACAAAGAAACAATGCACTTAAACAGAACTCTAGATCAAATGGGCCTAACAGACATTTACAGAACATACAACCCCCAAACCACTGAATATACATTCTTCTCATCAGCTCATGGGACATTCTCTAAGATTGGACACATCCTTGGCCTGAAAACATGTCTTGACAAATTTAACAAAAAATAGAAATTATACCATTGAGTTAGGTTCTTATTTTTACTCTCACCACCTGCATGAATTCTTAGGGGTCATATATTTCTTTCTTTTGTTTTCTTTTTTTCATTTCCTGAAAACTCTTGAGTGTTTATTATCCTTTCCTACCTTTAAAAATAATGACTCTATCACATTTTACTTGGAAGTTAATTTTGCTTATTATAAGAGAGAGCTTCTTTGCTTGAACTATGTGAGTTTCCCACCAGGAAAACTCAAGTGTCAGTGATGCTGAATCGGACCCAGGAGCATTTCCAATGGAGGGATATTGAGCTGCAGCAGCCCTCTGAGCTCTAGGGTGCATTGGGCTAGGTGCCACATGTTCTAGAACTCTCTTTGTCTCTTTTATTCTTTTATCTCTCTTTTTCTATCTTTCTCACGTATGTGCTCTCTTCTATTCTCTATCTTTATATAAGCTTTTTGAAAAAGTGAATCTATAGGGGCATGATTGATTTTGCCTATTGGGTAAAATTTATGTGCCTGGAACCTGGGTGACAAGAAGCCCCGAAAAGCCCAATCCAGTAATCCGGTAAAACTAAAATAAGAGTGGTGAAATACAAGATTACTTAAAACAAAGGGCGTGTCAAGAGAACTTAACAAAGACAGTGAAGAGGAGGCTCAAAATAGAATTTTGTTGTCTTGTTGCTGTTGGTTGCATGGGGTGTTTATTTTGTTCTGTTTATAAGCTAAAAACAGTCAAACGATTCAGTTACTTCACTCTCATTTTTTTTTTTTAACCAAGAGAATGATTGAGGACATGTAAAACAAATGAGTAAAAATGACATCCAACCCAAGTTCACGACAGCCAATAAGAGACATTTTCAGTGACTCATACAATGTCACGTAAAAACTCCACAGAATCATATTCAGAAGTCCCAAACAAAACATATGGAGACAGCTGAAATTTCCTGAGACATCATGGGTCACTAGAGTAGTCCAAGCATCTGAATGTGCATCCATTAAGTCATAAAGGTTATAAAGGAATAAATGTAAAGATTAGGAATTAGCAAGTGATAAGTTTGACATTGAGATGCAGCATGCACTCTGAAGCCGGAATGCTGGTGTTGGAATGCCAACTCTCCACTTCCTACCTGTGTAAATGAGGGTACTCGGAACTGTGACTTCTTAGTTGCACAAGAATTTTCCCAAACACTGTGTTAAGAGGATTGACTGAGCATTAGCCTGGCTGCCGCCTGCACTAGGGCATGTCCCTAAAGGTGACCTCAGCCCACATACTGCGTCTTTGCTCAATAAAATGCAATACTGCCAACCACAAAATATACTTCCTCCAATCTATTAGCCATTCCTTTTCAGTGATTATTTACTTGCTCCCTCTGCTGTAATTTTCCATGTCCCCCAGCCTCTTTCTGGTTCCTTATAGCCTGCAACCCCATTTTGGTTTGCCCTTTCCCACTCTCCCGTGGCCCCTTTCTTTCCCTCTCTGTTATTCCTATTAAACCTCAGTTACCTTTGTCTTAGTTGGAGTTGATCTCAGTTTATACCAGAGTCTTTCTCCCTTACTGCAATAGACTAAATACAATCTATCTTGCTACATTTAACAAGTGGCCGGTGCTGTTTCTCTTTGACAGTTTTCTTTTATGCCTCAGTTTCCTGCCTCTAAAACAGTGATACTTATAATATCTTCTTCCTAGGGTTGTCATAAAAATATTCAATGAATAAATGTTTGTAATGTTCCATATAACTGCTTGTTAAAATAAGTTTAATTTTTTGCAGGAAATTTGTAGACACCCTATCAATATAGAAATTTAAACTTTGATATGAGTTGTCCGTAAAGATTCCACGGTGGCTTATAGTGATCCTCTGGCCCCTGTCTACTATTCCAATGTCACAATTCAATGTCAAGTGTATTGACCCTTCCTCTCAATTACTCACTCCAGCTTCTACCTGTAATGCTCATCTCTGTTCCTCTCTGACATGGCAGCACCATGTACAATCGTCATAGTTTTGCTCAGTGTAACTTTCTCTATAAAATCACATATACCCCTTCTCTGTGGTATACTAATCATTCTGATCATACCTCTGTCAGCATATTTAATGCAGTGTGTGTGTATCTTTTCCCCTTAATAGTCTTGTATTTCAGGGGCATTTACAATTTTCCTGCCCAATTTATAAGGTGTGTTTATATACATTATCTCATTTAATTTAATTCTTCCACCAATTCTATGAAATATATTTATATTTTATTTCTAATTTAATTATAAAGAAACAAAGTTTTGAATACCAAATAAGTGAATAAGTTCGCCTAGCTTGCAAGTGGTAAGTACAGGACTTACTCCTATTATTCTACCTGGTAGAAATACGGCTTCATTACTTTTTAGATAAGTCGCCTTGGGCTAATTATTTAATCATTTAAGATGAGATCTTGATATGCATTTCAGAAGCCAGTTGTGACACCCCTATACCAAGGCATATATAATATGTCTTGAAGAGTGTTTATCTCATAGAAAACATTAACAAATGCTTTCACTCTATTTTTTGTGAACAAAATTGAATGATGTTTTTAAACCACTAATAAAATAGACATTCAGAAACAACAAAAAAATCAAGCTATTCACAACAAAGAGAGCTTGCTAATAAGTTCATTTGAAAATTTCCAGTGAGGATCAGCACATATCACTGGTATGGCACACTGGTATGGCACATAGATTGGACATGCTTTCCTTTACCAGAGTGTGGGGTTTCCTGATGAACTACTGAGTCTCCACACAATCAAATGATCCTTGAGTTTTTTCCTTTCCTCCCTTTCCTCTTTTTATGATAGGAAAAGTACATGCCTGAATGAGACTGGCTAACTATTGTATTAAACAATCAAGGAATTTTGTTAATTAATTCAACAACAAAAATAAATTTTGAAAAATTTTAAGGAGGGAGAAATGTAATTCAGTCCAACTTATGGTAATTAGCAATAATAGTAATTCCACTAATTTATTTTCATAGTAAAATATATTGTACTTTGTGCTAAAGATTTTATATTCACAAATATATTTTATCATAACAAAAATACACATAGGCAGTATGTAATAATATTATACCATTTTTCTGCAAGAAAGGTTGTATAACTTTCCCAATGCCAGGAAGCCAGCAAGTGGTGGAATAAAAATGTAGACTCAAGTCTGTGACTCTAAGCACATTCTCAAAACTTCCTATAGAAAAAAAAAAAAAAAAAGAAAACATTGTAATAGCTATATAGTACCTATGAAATTCTGGAAGAGACAGAAGAAGATCAAAGAACTAAAGTAAAAAAATCACCAATGAATCAGAGAATGGATATATATGTAAAGTTCTTACTTTAATCTATGATCCTCCCACAAATTTGAAAAAATAAATAAAAAGTAAAAAATTCCAGTTTATACTTCTGTAAACTCAGATACATCTAAGCTAGCCCCAGCCTAGCTAGTGTACCATGATGTAAAACCATAACAAAGTAGTTAACTCTAAAATCAATTTCTCAGATTTTGAAATCTCCATGCTCATAGAGGAAAAAGAGACATCACTTGATAATTCATACACTTTGCAAAAAAGCTATTTTCTTCTGCTTTCAGCACCAATTTTCTGTATTTACAAACCTAATACATTTCTCTGCAATTTCTCTTCAAAGATATTTCAAATAATATGAAAACTTAAATAAAGGTATTTTGGCCTTTATAGTACAGTGATGATGGGTGTTCATGCATAATAGAAAATAAATCTTCATAGTATGGACCCTATTTTCATAGATACACTGATAAGCACAGTATTTTTGCATCCAATAAATATACATTATTAAAAGGAAGGTTAGAAAAATTTTAAAGTGAACCACATTTTTATTTGTTAAAGAGGCAAAGGGGTGCAGTAATTACAAGCATAGCCTTTACAGTTACACAATTCCTAATTTGAAGACTCCTCTAAATACTCTCTAAATGAATTTGAGCGTATCACTTGGTCTTTATCTCAGTAGCACCTTCCTCTGGATACTTGAGGGGCTGATGGACAGACAGAGCACAAGACCTTTTTAACAATTGAAGTAGATCACACAATTACTATTTTTAATGCTCACTACATGATAGTTTATTATAAAATTGCCATATGCATATATTAGAAAATAAAATATTCAATTGATAACTGTTAACAGCCAAGCTTATAATACATGTCACAGTTTTTCCTTAAGAAGTTGATAACATATTTGAAATGCTGAAACTTACATACTTAAACTTTATTTTTAATTTTAAAATTCATATAAGCAGTAAAGGTCAATTCATCATGTTTGCATACTATTGCTTTTGTTGTAGCACAGCACAAATATGTGAAGAAGCGACATGCAATAGGTTTCCAAACTTCACTAATAAAGAAGGAAACTCATCTGTTATTAAAATGACCTAAAGTGTTTGGAGTCCAAGAAACTCTGGAGGATTGAGCCAGCTCTGTAGATTAAATGACAAACCAGAATTCTGTGTCCCAGCAGGGGACATGCCCTTGGTTTCAGTAGACTGTGATTGAGTGTCCAAATGTCTGGGCGAGAGAGAATTTATAAATTGAAATAGGTTCTCTTGGCACAGGGCTTTGCGAATATGTGTTGGTGAAAAGAGGATTTGCTGGTTGGGTACCAAGACACCGTATGAGATGACAGTTTCCCTGGTAAAATCCATCATGCGCTGGACTGCAGCCCTACAGGCTCTGGAACTCAGACTTGTCAATACCCCTGTTTGATGGGATTTTTAGATGCCAGTTCATGCAAACAAAGCTCATGAGACAAATGTTTAAGACAAGAGTGCCAACCAAATAATTCATAATAAACAGAAACATAACTGCAAAACATGCTGGCATATTGCATAGAAGAGACCAAAACATTCTCTCTTTGGTGGGACATTACATTTGTGGGAAGACAAATGATATTTGGTGCTTAAATACACATTTGCCCTACTTCTTTATATATTCAAGTCCCAGGTGGACACATGACTACCCAGGTCCCAGGTGGACACATGACCACCCAGGCAACAACTTTTGTACAGTTTTTCCATATATTAAATGCACACATATTGTGTGGTTGTTTATATATTAAAATTCTTACCAATGCTTCCAAGAATGTATCTGAGGAATAACTTCTAAGAAAGAGTTATGCAATGAAATTGTAGCTGGACTGAATATGGGGTAGTAGAAGCCAGAACACTCATTTTACTGTCAAGGATTTAGGTCATACACTGAGACTGACAGAGAAACAATTTGAAAAATTCTGTAATCCTAACACACAGAACATCAGCAACAACCCTACACTGTTTTTGCTTGGACTACTTTGAAGGAGAGAAAAATAAACATCTCTCCTTCAAGGTATTGATATTTTGGCCTCTGTTACAAATAGCCAAATTAGTTCCCAACTAATAATCACATTGACACCTTTCCAAGTTATTTAGGCAATGACCTCCCATCCAGTCCTCATATCTGTCCCCATGATAAGTGCAATGGAAGTTGAGAGGAGTTCGCAGTCAATGAGTTTTGGAGGAATCAGGGATATACGTATAGAAAGATTTGGCAAGAAAAGTCATGCTGAACAAAGACCAAAGAGGAAATGAGCTTGGCAGATAGAGAAAAGAGTGTGGAGCCTGTTATGCCCAAAACAGTGAGGTTAATATTGAAGATAAAGTCAGAGAAATGAGGGAGGAGCATGCAAACTATTGGCTAAACAATTTCATTTACTAAGGTGTTCAGTTTTTCCATAATTCTGACACACTTCCAGGAAGCATGTGCAAAGAAGAAACTAAAAAGTACATTACTGATTCTACAGATTCTTATGACCTATTCCACCTATCTGTTGCTTTATTATTTTGATGCTTCTAAGAAATATATCTAGAAGAGCATCTAGAAACACAAAGGAAAATGACAGATGTAGAGAGTGTAACTGCTCATTTCCTTTAAGCTCCTGAGAGCAGAACTGTTATGTAAATCCCACCAAATAAAGCATGTAAGTGTGAGCTTCATGCTCAAAGTTTGGACATGAGTCATCATTTCAGATAGCTTCATCCTGCCAATTGTCTAAAATAAAATTCTGTTTCCCCATTGATGATTAATCACATTCAAATATAGGAGAGCTTAAAGCAATGGATAAAAATAGGTAGAGGAAATGAAGAATACAAAGGTTATAGATAAAAATGCAATTTTTGGAGAAGAATTGGGTACTTTTTTCTGTTGGGGTTTTTAAAGCAGTTCACTAAAGCAAAGACATCTGAATTAAATGGATTTAAGTTTTTCTCTGTCTCTACTTTTTCCAAGGCACTACTTTGTAATGTGGTTGGCTTATGTCCACCCAAGTCTCTACTTAATCAGCTTGTGCCAGACAAAGAATGGTAAGCTCAGGAAGGGGTTTGTTTTCCCACTTTCCTTTCTCTAACACACTGCTTCAAGATTACTTCAAAAGATCAGCTTCCAGTGGAAATACTGCCTCTCTTTTCTTAATGTAAGATTTTTATGTATTTGATTGCCTATTTGAAAGTGCCTAATGAAGACCAAACATTTGTTGGACTATATGCTTAACTTAAACAATTTATTTTAATCTGATAACATCACTGAAGGTGATGTAATCAAATGACATCATCATCAGTCTCATTTCATCCTTGCGAGATATTATTTGTGTTGTAAGTAATTTCCACAGAATCTCACAGCTCAAATATAATAATGCTAGACTACTCCTCCAACCTATGTTCCCTAAATCTGATAAATCTGTACTTTAGACCCACATACTGCTACTTTTCTCTAACTTGAAGTGGGTCACTAGAAAAAAGATCCTATAGTCAGCCATAGATTAAGGATATTCATATATGTTTCTTCACTCTCCACCTCCAGATACATATACATTCTCTCGTTAGAGGCTACAGGTTGACAGCTGTGAGAGATTGGTAGTCATGGCAGGGTATTGAGGCTGAATATTTTCTAACCTTTATTTAAACAGGGTCATTCTGGCTATTGGCTTGAGGACAGACTTGAGTAAGACAAGCATAGAAACAAGAGGATATATTAAGAGTCTACTTCAATGTCTTACATACAACAATAGAGGCAGTGAGAAATAATAAAAATAAAGATATATTTTGAAGGTAAATAAGATTTACCAAAGAATTTGATTTTTTGTATGAGACAATGAGAAAAGTAAAGAAAGAATTAAGCATTAGGCTGCCATGAACTGAGATGACAAAAGTTCTGGGAGAAGCAGGCTGGTGTGTATATGGGGGTCAGTGTGAATCAGGGATTCAGTTTTGAACATGTTAGGTTTGAGATATGATTTTCATATGCAAATGGACCTGTAGAATAGGGAGGTAGATACATATTATGAAGTTAAGGAAGGTATCTAGGATGGACACATAAATTGGGAGTCCATATATAAAATAGTATTTAAAGCCATAGTGCCAACTGAGATCATTTAGGGTGTGCATGTACATAAAAATAAGAAGAGAATCAATGACTAAAATTTTAGGCAAACCAACATTAAGATGCTATGGAGAATAGAAGGAAGCAGCAAAGGAGACAGCTACAAAATATACTATATAGGAAATTAAATCCAATACAGTTTCCCTTAAGGGACTTCATGTTGACTGAATTCACTTTTAACAAACATATGCTTTAAGTAAACTTTATTTTATCAGTGAGATAAAATCTCTATGTTCAACCATTTGTTATTTCAGGAAACAATAATTGAATACCTACTCAATGCCAGGTATCATCCTACATCTTGAAAAATAAAGACAAATTAAAAAAGAAATCCTTACCCTGAGAAAATTCAATTTAGAGGAAAAGTATTGCAAAGATAGGGAAAATTGCAATTAAAATCATCAGAGTTTTGTAATTATCAACCATGTAAACAAAACTCTGTCCTCTAGGACTCCCACCTAAAACATTATTCCAACTTTTGGCAAGTTCAAAGAGAGAATACATGTTTGTAATTGTAAAAAGAGCTTTATAATCAGATCTTAGAGCACATTTTCCTCCCACCCCCCTCATTTAAAAGGGCTCTCTGGGAGTTCTGATGGCCCAGCAACTTTCTTTTTCTTTTTCTTTTTTTAAATTTCAGCATATTATAGGGGTACAAAGTTTAAGATTACATATAATGAATGCTCTTGCTCCTCCCACAAGTCTGAGCTTCAAGCGAGACCATCCCCCAGACGGTGCACATCTCACTCAT